AATGTTAGGGGTTTTACAAGTTGGTACCAAGGAGATGCTGTTTCCAAGGTTTTTATCAGTTCATTATCTAAGCATTGTTTTAGGTGGAATTATTATGAAATGGCAATTTAACATTTAATTTGACAAACTCTCAAACCTAAAGTAAACGGATCCAAATCTGAAAGTATGAAACAAAACCCTCAATCAAACATAAAGATAGATTGGTACTTAAGAATATTGAATTTAAGGAATGGAATGGGAATAATTTAAATTTAAAAGTTTATTACCACAATAATTTTCTCAGTGTGCTGATATACCTCAAATCCCGCCAGCAGGCAGCCTAAAAATTCGTTGGAAAACATTTTAATATGCACGCACGGTGACCCGTGGTTCGCTGCTACCCTCGAACCCTTTCCCCCTGGCCGGAGCTTGATTTGCAGTTCATTTCGGGATGCTACTGAGTACTGAATCCAGAGTCCTGCATCCTGGATATTCCTTTGGATGGTCCGGCTAGACAGCTGCCCCGCCCCGCCCCTTTCCCGCTCCTGTAATTACACGGGGCATTTGCTTGGCCTTTGTTTCGCATTTTGCTTTTTTCAAATTTATTTTCCGCTCCTCGGCGCTGCCCTGTTTGCATATCCCGTTGAAGGATAAAGGCGCGCGCTTAAATAAGCAATTACCGTGTGCCAGCGACCAGCATCCTGTCAAAGTCCTGCCCAGCGTCCTGCCGAAAAGGAGAGAGAAAAAAAAACCCATAAAGGGTTGAGCTACTCGGCCAGGACAAAGCGCCGCCGAAAAGGGTTCAAAAAAAGGGGAAGAAAAATCGGGCAAAAAACACACGGCTGTCGGTTCTGATTTAAATCTTTGGCCATGACATGTGGCGACCAGACAAGGTCCACCCCTTTCTCACCCCCCCTTTGAATCCATCGGTCCGCTAAAAATCCCTTTATTGATTTTTAGCCAGCTTTAAAAACGGTCAGACGGCAAGTTCAAGTTCAACACTTGGTAATTAATTTGCAAGGACCAAACCGGACCGGGCTAAAAGTAAAGTGCGTGCCGGCTCATTAGCATAGGGCCCCGGGAAAAGGGTCATTGTGCTTTTAATTGGAAAACATTCCGAAGGACGAGAGGGGGGAGGGCTGGGCCGGAATGAAAACTCATTAAGATTTCGCCGCACAACCCTTTTTCCGCCGGCTTTTCTGACCCAGTTTTCCCTGCTTGTCCGTGGATCGTAATTAAGCAATTAGCCGGGAAACACTTTCGCCCTTTTGCCATTCCGTTTTTGAACTTGGTAACTGACCCACGCAAGGTGAATTGCTTTGAGCCAGGTGTGTGAACTGCCCCCTCTTAACTTTTAACTCTTTTTGTATCTGTGGCTCGGCACTTCCTGTCATTCGTTTTGGAAATCGCGACATCGTGATTGCATTTGGCATATGCACATGTGCACTCGATGCTGATGCAGCTGGCCAAAAGGACGGCCAGCAACTGGCCATCGACCGTCGACCATTGACCAAATGCAGTGGCAGTGGCAGTTGCAACTTGCGATTCCCCCTTTGCGGCATTGACACATTTTTTCGTCTCATTTTTCGCAACGGGGATGTGTGTGTTCCCACGCTTAACTGACCCGACGCAATGTGAATATGGTTAAATGGTCAAGATTTGCCTGATTCGGATTCGGGAAGCCATATATTTGAACAGATTATTACAGACTCTAAAACGTTGGAACTTATTAGCAAGTAGTACACTTTATTGGCCGCCTAATGTATTTTCTTAGAAAAATAGGATACTGACACCTTAGTGTAAAAGATACCTTTTTTTTAAAGATATTAAATTGATTTCTATATTTTATTTATATAATACAAATAATGTTCTTTCGATAGTTTAATCAATTTTTATTTGAAAAGTTAACAAATCAATTTTCCCTTTGACTTTTTAAGAAGTGCAATATCTCCCCATATCACACAGGGAACATTAAGTTCAATAATAATGTTAAATATATTATTATTGATTTTGATTCTTATTTAAGCCTGTGCTATATTTAAGATAGACTTACATAAACACAAGAAGTGAGATTATGTGTCAAATAAATTTAGTAACTTCACATTTTCTGTGGCATTTTATATGTGACAAATTTTACACATTTAATCATATTTAATCAAAACATAATCCCACCTTTAATCATCACTCTATATTTTTTTCTATTCCTAGCAATATCGTTTATTTATTTGTTGGACTTTCTTGTTTTTAACAATGATTGATTGATTGGTTCCTGGATACTCAAGAGCAGCTGCAACGCAGTTCTCAATTTTGCCGCGTGGCAAAGAAGCTTTGATCGATCGGGACATTAGAAGTCCACTTGATCGCATCTCTGAAACTTGATTTATGGTCGCAGGCTCAGCTCCTTTCGATTTCTGTCTGAAGGACAGGGCCATAAATTAGATCGCCTCTAGAGATAGTCGAGCAGAAAGTTCAGTCCAGCATTATAATGCCTGAATTTGTTCTTCGCTAGCAGCTTTAAGGACGAAGCGACGGCTAATGAGGCGCTTTGCAGGGCTCAAACGAAACTCGATCCAGGACTTCAAAAGTTTTAAGTGCACAACAAAAAATTTAAACAAAGTAGTAATATGTATTTTATTTTAAAGAACATAATATAAAATTAATTAAATACAAAATATATTAAGGATCTATTGCCTAAATAAATAAATAATATATAAATATAAAATCAAAGTTTCGAGATTTTAAATATGAGTGATATATTTTTGACATGCATTTTTTTAAGGTAATTCATCTTGTCCTTACTCTTTGATTTTCTTGCTGTGTAGGGGGCAAGGTCGGGACCCGCATGGCTGTTTACCATTGCATTATGCTCGCTGCTTGCCGCCTGCCTGATTTTTTGAGGGCCTCTTCTGCACTGAACCGTTCACCGGCGGCCATGGCAAAGGTCATGGGTGGGGCCAAAGGGGGTGGCCATGAGGGAGGCTGGCTTGGCAACAATTGCGGCACTGCTGAGCCAGGCTTTTGTCCCTTTGGCCGGTTGCCAACCGCAAATATGTTCCCGTTCTTATTTCCATTCTTTATTCCCGTTCCCAGTCGGTTGTTTTATTTTCGCATTCTGCATTTGCTGCAAAGTCAACTAATTGAATGTGCTAAACTCACCCACACAGGCACAAATATCGCGTTATATGGCGCATTAAGCGCTCATTTCAGGATTTCTTCCCTGGCCCTGATGAGTCCTTCTCCAGGACCCCTCTAAATCCACTGAATACGCCCTGCACAGAAAGAAAATACATTTTAATTTACCTGATACTATTTTACCAAGGCCTATACAATTGTATACATTACCTACTATTTTACCCTATTTAATTGTTAAAATCATTTTAGGAGTTCCCGATTTTTTATATCACATAATTTGGACTATTAACTTTAAGGTTTGCTAATCTACTTAATATTTTATTTGGCATTATTTCTTTTAAAATCCTAAAACATAACCTTAATAAGTATAGTAAAATGTTGTTTATGTTCCTTTAGAAATACGGAATAAAATTATTGAATAATACTGAATTTAATATTATAAAAGTATAAAATGAGTGTATTATTTTTTCTTGGTACCGAATGAGATTTTAGTTTGTTTATAAAATGTTTATTATAATATTTTATATATCTATATATTTAGATATATTTTGTAGAATTAAGAATTGAACGACAATATATATTTTATAGTGATGTCAAGGATAAAATGAGGTTTTGCTCTGCGTGTGGGTGGACCTCCCACCCCGTTGATGACGCTGATGACGATTCCTCCATTTCTTCCTGCATTTGTATGGGTAATTACACTGGTGTGTGTGAGGGAGGGACGTCTGCTGGATGTCCATGACCATGGGGTGGAATTCTGCTCGCAGTTTTTTTCTATATACACAGTTTTTAGCATTTTTATCCACAATTTCAGCAGCCTGTCTCTTTCGCACCAACGGCAGTCGGCTCACCCTGCCACGTTTTTTTTTCTTTTTGGTCTCATTTTTTTCTCATTTGTTTTTTACGTTTTACTTGCGTCGGAAACCGCCATTTTTTATGCGCGCTAACTACGACGCCCTCTCTATTCCTCTCTCCCTTTCTCCCCCACACCCTCGCTGCCCCTCTCTGTCGCACCCTGTAAATGTAAGGGAGGCGCACCCTCACAAGGGAAATTTGCGCATTAGAAAAAATGTGGGCTGTGGTATACAAAATGGATTTTTCAGATTTTCTAAAATCAACCTTATTTTGTTTCTATTGAATAATGGCTAAAAATGCTACAACAATAAATAAATAAAAGTGATAACGTCATGGATTTAAAAAAATCTAGTGCAAAGTTAGTAAGAGCCAATACAAAATATCCAATTACCTAAGACACGTAGTCTTTTATGTACAGTAAAGTATCTGAAAAGGCTTTAAAAACAAGAACCTACACGCATATATGCAGATTATTAAGTTGGCTAAGGCATTTTTGTGGCAGTATTTCTCTGCTTTCCTTATTTATTTTCCAAGGATGATGCATCTTAATTTAGTGTCAAATTTTATAAATTCACAAATTATTTTTCTTTATTTCTATTCTCTTCCCTGTCTGTTCTGTCACTTTTGTAGGAGTGATCAAAATTTAAAATGTTTGAATAAAGGCGCCATGTGTTCTTCTTATTCATAATATGTTAAAATGTAACGTTTTCTAACAGAAATGTTAAGATTTTTCTAACATTTCTGTTCGTGCTGTTAATGCTGTTAACGGTGGTGTTAGAAAAGCAGGAATTTTAAAATGTGGTTTGAGTCTTTACTGCGGAAGACTTAAATTTTCCAATCAGAATGTTATTAATTTTACATTACATTTTACTTTGGCGGTGTGTGTCCTGACTTTAAGTACATTGCAGATATGATCTAAACTCTGGTGTTTGTCTCCTCTACGCCAGGTGGGTGTATCGGCTGGCAGGAGAGTGTATCAGCTGAGTCAGTATATTTTATTATAAGGACAGTATTTTTTCGCTACCCAGTTGCAGTCACTCTTCGAAAGCCACCTGATTGAGCGAATTTCATTTTATTGGAAACTATTTAAAATACTGTGCTTTCAAAACAAAAGCAACATTGTTGCGATTTCGTTGGGGGCGTGGCCGCAACAACTCCGCTCCAGTGCAACAACAACAGAGCACGCGGAGAGCAGAAGCAGAGCAGGAAAAGTCGGAAAAGACAGGGAAGTCCCGGAAAATGAAGAGCAACGTTAATCAGGGCGGTTACGCCCCACCCGGTTTCGGATCGGGATTCCAGCCAAACGCCCCTCCCGCCGAGGGATTCGGTTACCCCCCGCCGAGTGGCTCCCCCTATCCACCGGGCCCCGGTCAACAGCAACCGCCGCCGCCCATGAATTACGTGAGTTCCAAAAATGTCCCTTCTTCGGTGATTATAATATCTAGGGGGAGGTTGAGGTGGGTGCTCTAGGGGGTGCCTCTTGCTCACACACACGCCAACAATGACGTCATGCCAGTTGGTATTTGCTTATTTATAAACCATAATCACACACTCAGTTTGCTGAGAACTGAAAGAGATTCATTATATTTGCTTGCGAATGCGGGGAATCAGCGGGTGGATAAATAAAAACAAATGTTTTTTGTCCCCTTAAACAACTGGGAATACATGGTGCTTTAAAACCAGTAATGCCGACTGGATAAACAAGTTAATAATGCAATTGCTTCTGAAATGAAATGGGGATTTTTGAATTACTCTTAAACGCTAAAAAAAGGAACCTCGAGTTTTTTCCGTTCAGTGAAGATAATATATTACTCATCAATATTGAGAGCCGCCGCGTCTTTTTAGGTCTCATCCGACTAAAACTTATAGCATTTTAAAACACTTCATAATAAATTTTTAAAAATCACTGACAACGGTGGTGATTTATACTAACAAAATTTGAATTGAAGGCGGCTTTTTTTCAGTGTGAAAGCTCAAATTGTAAACAAATATAGCGACATTACTATTGACTCAGTAGTTGTACTTTTTTTCATACACTCAAAAAAATATTCTCCTAACTTTATACACTTCGAGTTAATGATAATTTAGAAACAAATTAGTTAAATTATTTTCTTCTATGAAATTTTTATTTTAAATGTATTAAACCTACCAAATGAAACAAACATTATAAATTCGCCATTTTATGTATTCCGATTCATTTTTTTTATGTATCTTAATTTGGGTTTCTGAAACCCACTTTTGTGCACACTTAAATGTCTCTTGGGAGAAAACATGTTGATAAGTACAGCTTTTAGGCTCCACGTCATGCCGTTGAAAACCTACCACAACGCCCCTCAATAAAAAACTTCGTCTCATTCGTCGTCCAACTGTCGATCGTTACAGGGCTTTACGCCAGGTCCTCAGCAAGCCGGTTACGCGCCCGTTCCCCAGATGCCCCCGTACGGAGAGACCCCGCCCTATGGAGCCGGACAGCCACCCTATGTGGGTGGTGGGGGAGGAGGACCACCGCCACAGGCCTATGGGGGATATCCCCCGGGACCGGCGGGACCAGGAGGACCTCCACAAGCATTCGGTGGCTATCCACCGGGTCCGGCAGGTCCAGGAGGTCCTCCACAAGCATTCGGGGGCTATCAACCGGGTCCGGCAGGACCTCCACATGCCTTCGGAGGATATCCACCAGGACAGCTCCAACAGCCCATTGTCACGCAGCCGGGAATGGGTCCAGGAATGGGTCCGGGAATGCAACCTCCGCAGGGCGGACCAGCGGGCAAGTAATCTATAATAATATATTTAAAACTTAGGATCATATAAAGTGATAGGCAGGGGTATACAACAAAGTGTATGGGATGTGCGACAGAAATCACAGAAATACCCGTAGAATTCTACACAAATTCTGAGGTAAGCGATTTCTGCGGCACGCCCTGTTCTCGGATTTTATGAGAATTGATAAGAATGTTTCGAGTCAAGAGCTATGTTAAAAGGTATATACATAATATTGTTTATTTTGTAAGTTCTGATAAGCTTAATGTTCAGTGGAACCTTGATGACTCAAGTTCTGTTGAAACTTAGTACTTATCTCTATTGCTAATTAATAAGTTTGATTCATATATAGACATTTGCAAAAACTATTGTTATACAACTGTTCTATGCATATTATGACAACGCTGTTTACTTTGAAATATTCCTGATAATAGCACTACTTAGAGAAAGGTTTTGGGGCACCAGGTTTTAATAGGTTTTTGCTTCCTGGTTTTTATCAATTTTCTTGCTTTTCATAACTGACTTTACGTCTTATATAATTTCACTACGTTAACCGCTAAATTAAAACAAAGCGCATCTTGTGTGCTCCATGTGTCATTGCCCTGCGATTGAGATAATGTCCAATCAGTTGTCTTGAGATTTCTCAGGGTGCATCCACTGAACCCAGCATCCCAGATAGAGGTGTTCCGGCAAGATCGGTGGAGAACAAAGGGTGCCCAAATGCAAAGTGGGGTGCAAATATTTACGTAGTCACTTTAAAGAGTGTTAGATACTTTGAGGTTTTTGGACCGTTTGTATTATTATCTCTGTGTTTTTGTTTACACGTGCGTCGGATCCGTCCGAAATGCTCAGAAAACCCAGGCAGATCTTTGGCGCTTATCGGAATGCGGAGCAACCTCCTTAATTGAACCAATAAAATAATACAAAGCGGCATTTAAAACACCCGTCGCCATGGATGGCGTTGATTTTTCCCCGACGAGCAGTTAGTTCATCTCTGTGCAGCAGAGCAGTTGGTCGTGTCGTGTCTAGAAAATGTCCACCGAAAACCCAGCGAATTGCGTTTCCACGCTGGATCTGAGTGGCGAGAATCGGGGAAACTCGGAGGATCCCCATAGCAGGGGTGTGAGGAGTGGTTCAAAGGTGCTTCGCATCATATGGCACTCACTCTACAGCCAGTACAGCCAGATCTGCTCGAGGTCCCAGACCCTGAGGCAACTGGTCTGCCGGGAGGCCAACAAGCCACTGCCCAAGAAAATCAGGCACACCATGCGGCTGAATAAGTCGGCCAAGCGAAAGGGCTACGAGTTCTACATCAGCGACGAGGACAGAAGGTGAGGAGTGTAGGGATATAAGACCGCTGGGAAAAGCTGAACAACATAAGATCTTTATAGTATAACAAGGAAATACCCTTCAGAAGTAACCACTTTATTTTTATACCCGTTACTCGTAGAGTAAAAGGGTATACTAGATTCGTCGGAAAGTATGTAACAGGCAGAAGGAAGCGTTTCCGACCCCACAAAGTATATATATTCTTGATCAGGATCACTAGCCGAGTCGATCTAGCCATGTCCGTCTGTCCGTCTGTCCGTCTGTCCGTCTGTCCGTCTGTCCGTCTGTCTGTCCGTCCGGATGAACGCTGAGATCTCGGAAACTATGGGAGCTAGGCTATTGAGATTTGGTGTGCAGATTCCTGAGCTTCTTACGCAGCGCAAGTTTGTTTCAGCACAGTGCCACGCCCACTCTAACGCCCACAAACCGCCCAAAACTGTGGCTCCTACAGTTTTGATGCTAGAATAAAAATTTTAACTGAAATGTATTGTTCTCACCAATACCTATCGATTGACCTAAAAAAAAGTTTGCCACGCCCACTTTAACGCCCACAAACCGCGAAAACCTGTGACGCCCACAATTTAACTGAAATGTATTGGTGTCGTCAATACCTATCGATTGATCCAAAAATAAATTTGCCACGCCCACTCTAACGCCCATAACGCTTAAATCTGTATACCTCCGGTAGGTGGCGCATTTTAATCTCGCTTTGCTGCTTGCATATCTCCATATAGCTGAGTAACGGGTATCTGATAGTCGAGGTACTCGACTATAGCGTTCTTCCTTGTTCAAGTCTGTTTTGATCATAGTTGCAGAGTCATATCCTTTTAAAACTGAACCAAAAAATGTTTTGGAAAAAAAACTAACGACTATAAAACGAACTATAATTTTTTTAAGCACCTAAAAAATGTATAGTTTTTTTATAAAATCGATGTACTTTTATTAACAGGTCCTTATGTTAGGGCACTTATACCTATTAAACCGTTCTATAATCTTCTGTAATTGGGTGCAAAAAACTTCAGAGCACTCTGTTACTACCTAAAAATATCACAATTATGTAAATGATTTCAAGGTTTCCTTGCATTGTGAAATTAAATATTTATTGGAACGTTTATCTTTAGAGCCCGTGATAAAGTAAATCTTCCTAGATTAGATACAAGAGCCTCGATGCACGAACTAGCGTAATAGCTTGTGGCTGGGGGTTATCTATGGGATATTCAGAGGGGGTCTGCTCCATTGTGATGCCTTCAATTAGAAAGGCCGAGCAATTGTGTCGGTGACATTGACCAATTGACACACTGGCCACTGAACGAGCTCAACAAGATGCCCTTTTGTGTGCACTAATTCAATTTACCAGAAAAGATTATAAGAAGTCTAAGTTAAGAGAACATTCCATTATAAGTTGATATAAAGTGTTATTTTTAAGTTCACTTTAATAGCGTTGTTTAATCGCCATTTTACTGAAGGACATCATAATATTTAAATAATATGATTTAGGAAATATAAACTAAGAGTATTTTAAAAATTATATGCCTATTAGAAATGTATGTTAATAACTGATGTTCTTTCAGGAGACTGGATGAGTATACCTACCGGAATTCCGAACTGTCCGCGCGGATTGGAGTACCTTACGACTATCGACCAGCTTTTAGTTAAGCAGAAGGTCGAGCTGCTCGAGGCCTTCACCGGCTTCGAGACCAACAACAAGTTCACGATCAAAAACGCCCTGGGACAGAAGGTCTATTTCGCGGCGGAGGACAATGACTGCTGCACCCGCAACTGCTGCGGACCTTCGCGTCCCTTCGACATGCGGGTCTTCGACAACTTCCAACAGGAGGTCATCCACATGCACCGGCCGCTGGCCTGCTCCTCCTGCCTGTTTCCCTGCTGCCTGCAGAGCATCGAGGTGTCGGCACCGCCCGGCAATGTCATCGGCACCATCGAGCAGGAGTGGTCCATCTGCTCGCCCTCTTTCAGGATCCTCAATCACCTGGGCGACACGGTGATGCGCATCGAAGGACCCTTCTGCACCTTTTCGCTATGCGGCGACGTTGAGTTTAATGTATGTGTGGGATATCATTTTATAAGTACTATATCTTATGGATAATTCTTGTATTTTAGGTTGTTTCGCTCACGGGCGAAAAGGTAGGCAAGATTTCGAAGCAGTGGTCGGGCCTGGCACGGGAAATTTTCACGGATGCCGACTTCTTTGGCATCAGTTTCCCCCTGGACCTGGATGTGCGCATGAAGGCCGTTCTGCTGGGCGCCACATTCCTGATTGTAAGTGGCTTGTTTATTTGTGAATTATGTAGTAACCATCGTTGGCTCCTGCCAATCAGTTGTATAGTGTTCATTTTTATCGGTTCAAGCTGTTGAGACGTCTGCAGCGCAGATTTCGTTGGTGCTGAGGTAATGTGTATTCCCCAGCCCATCAAACCCTCCAGCTTAGTTTGAGTAGGCTAGCCCAGCATAGGTCCCTTATCCATAGCAGATACTTAAGCTAATGATATGTTTTTTTTGCCCACAGGATGCCATGTTCTTCGAGAAGTCTGCAAACCAAGAAACCGATAGACCCGGCATGTTGTAGAGATCCTGTGGTGGCTTGTATGGCGATGATTTATGCCTAGTGGGTGGATGTTGTGCCGATTGTGACGATTGCTGCGATTGCAATTGTGACGATTGCGGCGATTGTGGCGATTGCAATTGAGACTTTTAGTTGTTGTACATTATTTTGAGTTGCCGCTTTATCCAAATATCTTCCCTGTGAACTGTCGCTTACTAGTCTTCTGTACCAAATGCTTATTGATAAAAATGGAATCGAGTAATGGAACTCCTTGTGAAAACAAACTGAAAATCAAACCTATTAAACTCAGGCTTCCTTTAACGGTTCATTGCCAGGATATATAAAACTAACTTTAAGTTATGAAGCATTTTTAATATTTCGCCTCATCAACGAATTATATTCAACGACAAATCTGCTTCGATCATGAATTTATAACGATGCACACTGAAGCAAAAACTAACGAACGAACTATTCGTTGTTAAACCATGTACTTTAAACTGTATTTTTGAGTGTCTTATGTATAGAAACATATATACCAATGTTTATTGTTAAGCTGTCAGGAAATCTATATATACCCCTACTTGTATTATAAAAGAAATGTTTCTTTTCTTTTTATTTACTATTATAATGGTTAAATAAATCATACAAAAAAATATATAAAAAGTCCAAAAAGTCAGGCATCGCATTTTAATTAATTTAGCACATATACAATATTTTATTGAATAACTAAATGTTTAAAGTAAGATCTTACGTACGTTTGGAGAACGAAGTTGCTTCCATAATGCTCGTAAGCCAGTTCCTCAGAAGTCCAGCCGCCAATGTCTTTTTAAGTATTTCAATCGAAATGTATTAAAATGGGTATTGAAAGAACTTCAAAATGAATATCTGGCGGATCAGTACTTCCGTTTTATGGGATTAAGTGCAATTCTTTTCAACCTTTCCAAGCCATAATTTTTTTTGTTGCGCCTTTGAGAATTAGATGGTTTAGTTGGGAAATTTTAACTCAGATGTTAGTTCACCCTATCAACAGGCCTTGAACGATAACTCTTTGACAGGAATTTAAAAGAACTTGTCTTAGAACGTTTTGGTTTTTTCAAATAAAATAAATTACCAGTTTTTAGGTGATAAAACGAAGCTGCTTATTAACTATCGATGGACTGCCTGGCCAACCTAGACAGTATCGTAGTCAACCAGAACATAGATGCAATGGAGTTCTTCACCAGCTTCAGCAGCAATAGAAAGTACTCTGTTCGCAGTAATCCAAAGGCGGAAGCGATCCTCTATGCCGTGCAGGATAATAAGTTCGCGGATCGCCAAATTAGGCCAAATTATTTTTTCACCATAAAGGTCATGACCAAGGGGATGACTCAGGTGATGCACGTGGACTCGCCGAGGCCGGACGCCTACTTTAAGCAGCCCCGAATTGAGGTATACGCACCACCCGGAAACATGATCGCCATCGTCAAGCTGCACAGCATGGCCTGTCCCCGCACTCTGCACGTCCTGAAAAACAAGGACAGTGAGGTAGAGTACGTTATCAATGCTCCGGGAGGATGTTGCGGAGGAGGCAGTTTATACCATGTAGGTTTTCTGATACATTTTTACTTATAACATCCTGCTCGATACTTTAAACAGCTAAAGAAAACGATTTTAGTTACTTGGGCATTCTGTTTACTTCTTACATGCCACTTAAGATATATCTTCCGCAGGTGGTCGATGCTAAGAAAAAGGAAGTAGCTCAAATCGAAAAGATAATTACCGGAGCATTCAAAGAAATGTATACAGGTGCCGATGACTTTAAAGTGAATTTCAAGGGTTTGGATAATCGCACAAAGACGATTTTACTGGGCACCGTCTTCTTCCTTGTTAGTATTTCAGATCAGTTGTATTAGTTATTGCATAATGAATTATTTTTTGTTTTACCTACAGGACGGCTTATTCTATGAAAGATCACGTGCACGAAAAGTAATAGGAGTAGTATATTAATCTTATTTTCGGTTACGTTATACAACTATTGTGAATTGTTGTGTAAATTTTAAATAATGTTTAAATTGAGTCTTTACTTAAAATATCATAGGGTAAAATAATTGTAAAAAAAGTCGGTGTCAGTTTAGTGAAATATATTTTTACAATTTGTTGCGAGCCTAGTGTTCTTTAAAGGAAATGTCAAAAAAATTATTCGTATTGTATTATTTCTTTATTGATCCGAAAATACAAATATCTGCGATGGCGGAGACCCTGGGACTGGACTGCTTGGTCAACCTAGATAGTGTTATGATTTATCAGAAAGTTGACTATGGGGAGGTTTTCTTGGGATTTTCTAGTAACCGAAGATATGCCATTAAGAGTTCGCCGAAAGACCAACCGATTCTCTACGCCGTCCAGGACAATGGATTTTGGACGCGTGAATTTGGATCCAAATATAACATGACGATCAGAGTGATAAACGCCTCGAAAAAGGACCTCATGGTCGTGTCCAAAGCCAAGCATCACGAATGTTGCGAGGGACCCAAGTTGGACGTCTTCGTGCCACCCGGAAATAAAATCGGTTGGGTTAGGTACCACGAGGGCTGTTGCTGGGATCACATGGAGATCCATGATCCCAAGGAAGCGCTCCTTTACAAGGTCATACCTTATAGCTCTTTTAAAGACAACAAATTTAAAGTGAGTTACCGAGGCTCTACCGTTTTTAAGTTCATTCTCTTTTCCTAAATCATCATCAGCTTCTATATTTACTCTTTCATTAAAGCAGTAAGCCATGTATACCTACTTTTCCGCAGATCGAGGATCGAAATCATAAAGTTGTCGGCAAGATTCTAAAAAAATATGCCGGATTCTTTCAAGAAGTGTTCACAAATGCAGACAACTTTAAAGTTGAGTTTAAGGATGCTGATATACGCACCAAGGCGCTTTTTCTGGCCACGGTATTTTACATAGTAAGTGTTTTATTGATGTATTTTTTCAAAGAATTTTCCAAAGTATCATTTTTGACTCGTTACTTCATAGTTAATAACTTATAACCTTTTTGAAATTGAATTCTTTTTCGCCCTTAGGATGCTATTTTCCATGAATGAAGCATGAATAAGTAAAGCCCCTGGATCTATTGTGATTTAATATTATTATATATGTCTATACTTACCTAAAGAAGTTGTACCTACTCAGTAAGACTGCGATTTCCAAATCCTGTATGTGTTTGTTCATCGCTTAAAAATAAATTGTATATCTGATTGAGAAATTACCCCAAATATAGGGTTGAAATTGGTTTAAGTTTGAACTCTAAAGCGATTTCCTTGGTATTAATATGTAATTTTTACCAATAAAATTGTCAACAGTGCCATTCCAAGATGGTTAAACTAATAATTTTATATGTAGATAATTTATAATTCAGCTGAGAAAAGCATTGTGTTCGATTTAATTGAGACCATCACTAACTCATCAGCTGATTTCGGTTATTGTACATCAAAACTGGCTCCTCAAGAGAACTCTAGAACGAGTTTGTCCTGATTAAAAATAAACACAAATTAACGCAGTGCACTCGCCACAAGTTAAGGTTTAAGTTTAGTTACTAAAATGCAGGCGTTGCGAATTCTGATCGCTCTGCTTCTGTCCGGAGTGTTGGGCAAGGATTTGCAGGAGTGCGAGGATCTGGGAAAAGGAAGTCATCTCTGTCGGGAAATCGAGAGCTTCGAGCAACTGAGTCGATATGTAGGCGAAAACTGGAGAAGTGTGAAGGTGGTGAATGAGCACACTGGAACTGAAAGTGCCGAAGATGGAGAATTACCAGGACTTTCCAGGCTTTTGCATTTAGATCTATCTGAAACCGGGGGCGTAACTCTGGGCGAAAGGGGACTGCGTGACTTTAAAGACTTGCAGGAGCTGAATCTCACCCACTGCCAATTGGAGGAGATGCAGGCTCAGCACTTTCCGAACAAATCGCAACTTATCAATATAGATGTGAGCTTCAATGATATACAGATAATTACTGCCAAACTGATGAGTGGCTTGACCAATCTGGAGTATGCCAACTTTTCTAACAACCTGATAGCGGAGATAGAACCCGATGCCTTTAAGGATCTAAAAAAGCTGGTATTTCTAGATCTAACCACCAACGAGCAGGAGAACATAACCCTCGGTGAGAATGCAAACCTGCGATACCTGTCTATAAGTAACAACAATGTAAGAGATGTAAGTGCTATATAACTTATCATAGCAGTCATGATATAACCTTTAAATATCCCTCAGTTTCAATGGTGTCGCCTGCGGGGATTGCCCAAATTGGAGGAACTGCATCTGCATAGCAATTGGCTGGAGACTCTGGACATGGGAATATTTTATGCCCTGCCTAATCTGCGGGTTTTAAACGTGTCCAACAATAATCTATATGAGATCAAGAGAACTCTTTTCATGGCTCCTGGAGAAGTAGCTCCACTTGAGTTGCTTGATTACAGCTCGAATAATGTAAAAGTCCTGGAGGATTCCGTTTTTTGCAGACTCAGTAAGCTAAGGACCCTCAATCTGTGGCTCAACCAGATAAACCGGATCCATCCGAGGGCTTTTCTAGGTCTGAGTTCTTTGCAATCTCTTCAGCTGCAGGGCAACAAAATCAAGATTCTTCCCGAAGATGTGTTTGCCAATCTTACGGCCTTGGAGAGATTGGATTTAAGTAGAAACAGCATCAAAAAGTTGGGCATGGGGGTCTTTGGGAGTAGTATTCTTCGTAACCTTACCTATCTGGATTTGAGCAACAACTTTATGGCGGAGCTGCATCCCCTGGCCCTTTCTTCTCTGCCCTTCATCAAGGAACTCAGGCTGAGGAGGAACAAGTTGATCAGCCTGGATCTTCGTATGTTTGCACCCCTGCGAAAATTGCAGTGGCTCACGATCGGCGAGAATCGTCTGGAGGAGATCGAGACTGAAGTTCTGGACACCTTTGAGCGCCTTACTCACCTGGAGATCAACAACAATAGGCTCTCCTTTTTGCCCGATCTGAAGTCATGGGAAAGTCTTCGGCAATTACAACACATCAGTCTGGAGGGAAATCCCTGGCAGTGTCTGTGTTTGGACGAGATCACCTCCTGGTTAAATGTACATCAGGTTGCCTACGCCCGTCCCAGCAGTGCCTATTTCAGTGGAAAGAAACCCCTTTGCGTGGTCACGCCCATGGATAAGTGTTCGAGGGTCCTTCAAGAAGTTAGGGCACAGGGCATCGTCGAAAGCTATGAGAAGATTTAACATACTTTTATAAAGCCTCCTTTAACGAGAATTTGATTTCTGTCTTAAGAGAACCTGAATATATACTCTTAAAACATACTTTTAATAAGTAATATTCGATTGAGACTTCATGAGGATTTCATTTAAAAGTAATTTAATTCAATGAAAAATTACATTGCATGATTTTATTTAATATAGATAGATATATTTTTAAAATCTTTAAGTTGAATATAAAATGAATAAAAGCCGCAAAGCGAAAAGTATTTACATTTAAAATGAAGTCCTTGTATTTACTACGTCTTTTATCAGTGCACAGATTTGTAAAGGCTATCGTATGGTTTTTCATGTTAACTGAATGTTTATCAAATCGGCTTTAATATGAATTTTATATTTTATTTGTCATTCTGCCCTCAAACATATTTTCCTGATAAACCATGGTGGAAAATTCATTCGTACTCCTGATTTTAGAACGCATTTGTCCCGACAGTTAGTTGGGGGGGGGGCAATAAATCAATATCCACTAAATGCTGGAGTGCAGTTTCTGTTGTGGGTTCCGCTCCGCTCCGCTGACTGACTGGACTGGACTAGAACTGGACGTCCGCCGCAGGATCCTTGGAGAAGCCTCCGTAAATCACAGACAATTGGATGACCATGAGGGCAAAACTTTTAGCTAGCCAAAGTATTTGGCCAACTGTCGTAAAACAATAAAACGGAAGGCATGCGATGGGCGGGGAAAAAGGGGGATGGCTTGGGGCGGAAAACCGAAGCAGAGATTTTCAAATACTTAACACCACTTAGGCGAACAGTTGGACAATGACAATGACGGGGGCTTGGGAATTCCGAATGCCGAAGGTGGGGATTTGATTGTTGAGCGTAATTTAGCGCAAGAATTTTTATTAAAATTTCCAATTTGTTTGCAGATAAACTTTTTTGTTCTAACCGCAATCGATTGATTGATTGATGGATGGCAGGGGCTAGTAAATGGGATAAGTTTGGCAGGTGTTTGGTAAATGAATTGGAAAACGCTGAGACAGTGTGGGGATAATAAGGGAGTTATGAATGGGTGGGTTTCACCATTGCAAAACAAGTTTCCCAGGTCTTGGCTCTCCGTAACTTGGCCCTCTAATTTGCATTCAACTATATGAATAGGCCGCAGGGTCAGAGCAAGTCGAGCACAAGTATTCCAGGTATGCAAACGGGCAACAAAAGGACAATGGACCCGGGAAGTTGGCAACCAGGACATGTGCAGTCAATGCGCAATTACGGCCATAAAGGGCGTAACACGGCGTATCCTTGCTCAACAGCTGCCATAAAAGTTTTATTCCTGAGGGGACTTAAAGCGACTCGAACACTCGGAGACCAGTAATTAAATTAAATTTTTGGTTTCACATTCGCTAGATGAATTAAGTGTCCTGTCAAAGGTGAGAGGTGAAAGGTGAAGACTTCGGGGAAAGGAAAACCAAAAGGAGTCCTGTGGACAGCGCCCCTTTCAATTAATTTGGCAACAAACTTGGCTCCGCCTGTTGTTTGCCCAATTTGATAACCGAAATTTCAGGATGGCAGGAGTTTCGTTCATGACAAAACCTGTTGCTCCCCCCCTGGGGAAATTCCCCAGGCCATCGAGTTTTTGAACCCTTGTCAACCTGAAATGAAGCTCCATCGAGGTGTCAAAGACATGCTGGCCATCAATTTCCCCCTAGTTCACAACCCCTCAATATTCTCTAAAATATATTCAAATTCAAATTTTGTGCACATCCGCCAGGTGGTTTTCAATTCACTTTTCTTTTTTTAATTTTAGTTGTAGTGGCCACTGCACTGGCATTTACATTTTGTTTGGTTAATTACGTTCACGGCTAATTGCATTTCTGTGGCTTAAATGGCCGCAAAATTTGTTAACAAAATATTTGCCAAAACATTTTTGCACAATTAGCCTGGTCATTGTGTGTTTTATTCGGCCTGTCAGTAGGCGCATTATGGCCCCCAAAAAATGCGTAACTAGATTGCACTTCAAATTAGAAACATTGGCATTTTTGCGGTTAGCTGCACTTTTAATTATCACTTTCGGAATCCTTGATGGACAGCCAGTGTTTCTCCTGCTTTGGCAGAGGAGCAGCCCAGGCGAACTTGAAGGATCTTCGGACCTTCACACTGGACCTCCTGGGCTTGGTCACCTGGCTGTTCTGCTCTAGCAGCAGCGACATCTCCGAGATCGATGGAAGCAGCTTTTTGTCTTTTTCCGAGGTCATGGCTTCCTCCAGAAGCTGGGTGTGCTTCACCAGGGTGTCATGGCAGTGCAGCAGCAATTTCCGGGTCCTACTCAAGGCGCTCTGCAAGTCGGTGTAGTCCCGCTTGTAGCAAACAATGGGAACCTTGGGATGGGATTGATACAAATTAAGAGGAATAATATGTACATATATAATATATATTTTATAATTCGTAAAAAAATTTCTTTTAAAAAAACCTACCTTTGAAGCGCAACTGTACTTCATGTTAGTTTGGGTGCGTCTCACATAGTTGTCACTGTACTCGAGGTAGTTGCCCCGCGAAATGTCGAGGTCACTGTACCGCTCCAGGCACAGTCCCGTGTGGTGTTTCAGCTCCTCCTGCCACTTGGGCACCTCTAGCATCCGCTTGGCCAGCTTCCTGGCGCATCGAATGTTTCTCTGGACCTTCTGGTCCAGTCTGGTCAGACTTTCCTTGGAGTCCTTGAGCCGGCGACCCACTTCGTTGATCTGCTGGTAAGCCCGAGCGGTTTCCTGCTGAACCTCCCTCATTTCGCTATTTTCCGATCCGCCCAGCTCGATTTCCAATTTCAGTTGGTCCATCTCTGGATCACAATCGATTTTATTCGACTTCAAGGGGCTAATAAGGAGACTTCTCAAATATAGCGCCCGCTGCTTCATATTCTCCAGTTGATCAAATGCCTTTGACAATTCCACATCCGAGGAGGAGTTCTGCTCCTCGATCGAGGTGTCATCCAGAGCGGAGATGCTGCAGTGGGTCAGCTCTGAGCCACTTTCAAATTCAGGAAGTCCAGGAGCCTTGCAGTCCATCTTTATTTGCGTTTGCTGAGCTACTTTGTTAGTCTATTACTATCTGTATAATATGTGTGAAATTAATAAATGTATTTCTTCCCAGGAAAAGAACCAAAAAGTCAGGGACTACTCTGAAAAATTAGATATTAGTATAAAACCTATACCGTACATTGTATACTAAAAATGTAATATATTTTATAAATCTTAAAATATTGGAAAAAATTAAAGTGGCATAAAAATTATTTCGAAAATCGTAGCTTTTAAAAACACCGAATATTTTTGTTGTCTACAAATTATAAACATTAATTTTAAATATTGAATCCTTTTCACAAGCCAAACGTAAACTTCGTTAAGAATCTATTAATAAAATGAAGAGAAAGAACAGCTTAAATTAAGTTATCTTGACACCTTATTTTAATGGGTCCTCAATTTCTTCAATGTTCGTAAAGCCTGAAGCAAAGAATAACTTCTTATTACCAGGACGTTAAGATCTTTGTTTCCAGTTTTGGCATTTTCGCCTTCCTCGTTTTGATGAAAATGCCTGGCCGTAGTGCCACAAAGTATGCAGCTGCAACAATGTTGCATGCAGATGAGAAACTGCTCCGAAAGAGGGCACACACCTCAAATTTGCCCTAAAGGGGGTAAATTCCGAGCTGCTAATGATTTTTAATAGCCAAATTGCAGGGGCAAGTCTGTGGGATAGAAGCTGCACCAGGTCACCAGTGCCGCTGCCTTCGTCCTGGAAATGCCTCTTAAAAGCGTATTTGTGGTTGGGGTCCTGGCCGACACACACACACACACACAACCATATCCTTGATGCGGTCAATAAAGTATGCAAAGTGGTGGGCGGTGGGCGGTGGGTGGAGAAGGTGGGTGGCTGTAGTGACCCAGCTGACCTTAAAAACAAATTAGTGGCGCTTACTCAACAAGATTGAGTGGCTCGTGTATCGCTGTCATTGGCATCGTCATCGCTGCTATCCTCTCTTTGGTCAGGTGCTGAATAAAAGGGGTTCTTTAATATAAGATCTTAAGTTTCAACACTTTCAGTTTAATATTTTATTCATCGAAAACATTTTCAATTTCTATAGATTTTAAAGAAATATTTTACAAGCAACAACATTTATAAAAGGCCTAATGGGTTTTCTTTGTCTGAAAATAAATAAATCATTTGGATTACATTGACCACGGCTATGCTTTAAATTATTGCTTTCTTTTTGGTGGTACACTTTACATTTTCATTAATTATTCCAGTCAATACATTTTGTATGCCAACCTGGAAATAATATAATTTAATAGTTGAGATCACAAATAAAATACTTTATACATTTAAAGTTTTTTAATCCTAATTTATACATATATCTACATGGTAATATATCCCCCTTTAATTCATATTTTCCGCGCCACTGTCCATCGTCTACGCACTATGCCCGTGCAGAAAAGCAAATAAAGGAGAAAAAATCAGAACTTAATTAATAGAAGAGCCTGCGGTCGTTGCTCCCTGATCCTGTGACCACCTCCTGAATCCTGCTCGCGAGTCCCGCTGCCAGGATGCATCTATTTATAGGCTCCTGATATTACGTGATGAATATTCATGCGGACTCGGGGGCAGAAGGATAGAGAACCACGACCACTCCGATGACGTTGCAAATCAACAGTCGAGCATAATTTTTGTTAATAAAAGCGTGTAATAATTTGCCGCGGGCGTTTGGGGTGGTGGAGAAATGCCCAGCATGTGTTGCAAATGAAATTATGTAAATGTGACAGCAACAGCGGCAACAACAGAGATGTATCTGCAACTGAATTTTGTATCTTTTTGGGGCTTTTGGGGGCGGTGGTGGCGGTTGACCCACGAACACAATGGAACAGAGGGGGGATTTTCGGGGGGAGGAGTGCCGACCACATTCCCTGCCAAAACATGGCTTAATGTTGATTAGATGCATTAAACATGCAAAAGCCCACAACCAGCAGTTGCTGTTATTTCTGGGCCAAACAATAAACGGTGGCATAAAATAGATATGTATGTGCATTGCGTATTTACTGGTTTTTTGGGTTTTTCGGAGGGGGGGAAATGAAATTAGTGCAACCTTTTAACTTTTGCGCGGCAATTGAATAACTTTAATTGGTAATATAGCTAAGCCCACATGGAGCCGGAAATTGCAAAATTGTAGCCTGCAAAGCCAATAGTCCAATTGCCAATTGCCAATCACCAGTGCCGTTTCAAAGGGGCAACTATCTCCCCCCTTTGATTTCCCCCAAACCCCCCTCTGCCGCAAGCTGTTTACGATCCTGCCAACTTTAATAGTAAATAACAACAATAACAAGCGCCGCAGGAGCAGCTGCGCAAAGTTTCAGAACAATCCAATACAGGCAGCAACAAATAAAAAAAAAACCGAGAAAATACAGGGAAAAGCAGCAGCATCAGGAGGAAAACCCAGAGAAAAGAAAAGTTGGAAAACACTTTACTTTGATGACCGTCCAAGTCTTTTGCTCTCGACGTTGTCGCCATGGCTGCCATTCAAATGGCTCGCTTAATTTTACCCTTACCGCGGGGATTGTGGCAACTTTTTAATGACTCCCGGACATATTGTCCGCCCAGGTTGTCATTTCATCTTCGAAAGGGGAATGTATCGCATCGCCGGGTGACAGCCTCAGTGTGTAAGGATCCGCTTCACGGGAAGTACTTGCTGGGGAAATTCAAAGAGGTGCAAAAGTCCGTCGGAATTCGGGCTTAAAAAGTCGGAACTGGAGTTCGGAATTCCTGGAAATCGAAAAAATACGAGCAGGGCTTTCTAGGAGTCACAAGAATTTACTTAAACAGAAAAATTGTGAATGAAATTAAAGCTCTTTATTTGAGATGCCTTATTGGTATATATGTTTTTTATAATAAGATACTTTCTGAAATTAACAACATAGTTTCCTATCTCAAAAACCTATTCCCCACGAATTTTAGACAGTTGAAGTTAATTGCGTTTTTTCTATAAATTCAAAAAGTTATCTTCTCTTAAATAAATATTGTTTGTATAAATTAAGTGTACTAAATTACAAAACAAGTCTTAACATTAAAAAAATTTCATTATATTTGTAAAGGTCAGGCTGCATACTTTTTCAAACGTTTAAACTTAATTCTATACTATTAAATCCCTTTATGTGGCTGATAAGCGTGTGTTTACCTCCAAACGAAGCTTATTTTGAAAGTTTGTTGAACATTTACCTAGGTTATCCTTGAGTTTATCAAGCAACAGGTTAGCAAACTATAAAGGCTGTTTTAATAAAATTACCAAATAGTTAAGAATACAAGTTAGTTGAAAATAAAAGGGCATAAAACAGTCTGCGATGGACCAGATGGACTGCATCCGTTTTTCAGCCGATGGCTAGGCCAAATCATTATTGATTTCCTGACTGGGTCCCCCAATCGCGTTCGGCAGACTTATCTGAAAAAAGGGTGAGCTGCGAGTGCCACTTGGGGCGCTTTGACAAAAACTTTCTTTTGTACATATTATTTATGCCCGGCTCTCCCGGGGGCTCAGGAGGGGGACTAGCAGGGGTTTTAAGGGGGTCAGAGGTCCCCTCAAATACAAGTTGCTCCTGTCACGGTTGTTATTGCTCTTTTATTTGTATTGGCTTTGGCTTTGGGCCTGCTTGCTATATTTTTTAATTTATGTAGCAGCTGTTGCTCCGGCGTAAATGTCAAATGCATTGGTTTTCCTCCTTTTTTCCGATGCTTGTATTTTTTTTTTAGAGGGGAGAAAGTCAAAGCCCGGGACTCATAATGTGTTAAGTTTTCGCCCCGACGAGTGAGTGGCTGGTGCTCGAGTTGTTGGCAAACAGTTTGGCTCCTTGGCCAAAACGCCGCTCCACTGCCACCAACTTCGGGCTTTCGAGCTTCAAGTGGCACAGAAAGTTTGCCCCAAAAGAGGCCAGCAAACTAATTATTTAGTTTCGCTTCGTTCCGTTTCGCAAGCGGCAAATGCCAAACGTCAGCCAAATATCAATAAAAACTCCAATCGAGATCTATTTCAATTAACTTGTTAAAAAACTTTTTAATTAACGGCACTGCAGAAGTTTGTTTTCCTTGGCCTCCTCTCCCTGAATCCAGCCGGGAATTTATGGCTCCGCCTAATTGGGCAACAATAAAGTGAGCGAAAGGATACTGCAGACCGAGGGGGCTATAAAAATAGAAGACTCCTGTGATATGCAAATGTTTATAAATCAAGTCGGTGACAAGTGGTCGGCCGACTGGTCGGACACTTCAAATAAATAAATAAACAAACCAACCTGCGACCTGTGTCCTGGTTAGCCCAACATTCCGATTGCCCCCCCTTTGTATTCCCATTTGTTTGCCATAGTTCCACTTTTACTTTCATTCACTTTTACCCTCATCAAAAATAGACTGAGGGGTATTTTTTCAGGCTGACACCTTGTGATTTAAAAGCCGCAACATATGAATCGGGATCCTTGGTCATGGTGATTTATGCCGACTCGGTTGATTTACCGCCACAAAAGCCATTAGGAGGTCCTGAAATCCCACTCCCAAATGGATACTCGATTTGCTGCTGTCGACAATTACATTGTCTAGACCAAAGGCGACTGTCAAAACTCCAGGACTTCGAGGTCTTTGGGCCAAGTCGATGCCATCGAGTCTTCAAGTCGATTATAGAAATGACAAAAGCAGCATGGCAGTACAAAGCTAAGTAAATTCGGGGTTTTTAGCCGCTTGATAAATTGTGCCACCGGCTCGGAGCTATTAATAAGATAAATGAGCGGCAATAAGTGGCGCTGGCACTTCGATTTCATTCCCGGCTGACTTCCCGTTTTCCGCTGGAACAACGCGGCGTATGCGTAATTACCATTTCATATGCATTGCGAGAAGCTTCAATCAGCAGCCAACTGTTTTAAGGGATAATGAGATGCACAGGGGAAAAACGAATAAATTTGAATATTTAAAAAGCTATGATGGGAAACTTAGTTAAATTGGGCATTAAAAACTAAAATTTAGTATATATATATGCTTTATTTACATGGAAAAATTATATAAAAAATTAAATTTAGTATTTACATGTTAAGTTGGTCCAATTTGCCATCACAAACTTGTAAATTTTGGACTATAAGAT